CACTTTTGTGACTGTCCTATGTAATTGTATGTTTTAGGCTTAATATATTTCACTAATTCAATACATTTTTTAGCATCAATCTCTTCAACATTTTCTTTTAGTCTCTTATCTGATGTCTCCGTAGATGCCCCATTAACGTGTAATCCGGTGCTTGAAATCTCGCATATATTATATAATTTAGAGATATTATTAACCTATAATAACAAAATGGTTTCGTCTGCGACTAAAATGACCCCATTAGAAGCGCGNNCGCAATAGAACATACCCCGAGGTAGAGGTGGGTGATAGTGTTAAAACGATGCGTAAAAAGGGCATTAGTGAAAAAGAACGCAACAGTCACTGGGTGAGAACCCCCCAGAAAATTAAACGAATTGATAAGAAATTAGGACAAAACTATTACTATTTAGAAAGCAATGATAAGAGAGAATATTTGAGGCATGAACTGCGGAAAGTTTGAGGAAGAACAAAAAATATATGAGGCGAACAAAAGCTACCACGAAAACCCCTAAATACAATCCTGAACAGGGAACCCGGCGCACCCCGAGTCTTGAAGTCGCAGAGGTCAAAGTCGTTGATGAAGATGAGCACCTGCCATGCTACAAGTCGCGTTGCGCAAGCTGGTTCGGGTTTATCGGTTAGGGGATTAGGGAGCTGCAAACAGCACTGCCGAAAAGTGCTTTCATATCTGGTGGCACATTGCTCTCTGGCACTCTGTTTTCATGAGGTGCTCCTATTCGGTAAGTAGTTTCCGCGACTTCTTCTGGCGCGGTCAGCTGAAACACTGTATCAAATTATGCGCAGGTGTCCACTGTGCGTTGTCACGCAAGGCTGTCATCTGAATCATCTGAACTATTATTGGGTTAAACCCTCTCTAAGTTGCCACCGTTGTTCTGGATGTAGACCTCGTCAAGGAGCGCCTCACAGGGCCACAAACTTGCGCAAACCCTGCCTACCTACAACATGACAGGCTGATTGGACGAAGCGCACCTTGCAAATCTTCAATCGCACGTGATGCGTGGAGGCCACCAGGACATGCTCCTTCTCGGTCTCGTGGAAAACCTCGGGCCACAGACCCGGTTTTTGGGCCTCCCGGGGAATGATGCCTGCAACGTTCTCTGCGGATGCCATCTGTGCACCCTGATCCTGCTTCAAGTTAGACACGGGCGAAAAGCCATCCAGTGCGATATTGATGAGGTGCTCGCGGGCGTCATCCTGCGAAAGTCAGCAAGAATTTTGG